TACTAATAACATCCTCATCTATATCACCATCACCATGAATAATAGATCCAAGATATTCTGAACTAAAATTTGTGAAAGGACATGTGGACTAGATCATGAATTTTAGCCACATATTTTACATTTCATAATCAAAGATTCAATTACACTAGAACTATCAATATTTTCATCACCCACAACACGATCATTTAATACGGTCAAAATGAGTCCAACATAATAATTTATCACATAAATAATTTTTATATCCAATTCAAGCTCAATTTAATTTAGATCCAAGTCAATTCCATTTTTATTTGAGTTTGATTGATTAATTCCTTAGTTGAATATTAAAAATAAAATAAGATAACAAATATTATCATTTTATTCAAGAAGATTTGCATGCATACCAATCAATTCCAACTTATTTACATATCTAAAATCTAAACTTTAATTTTTTACATACATACATACACACATACGTATATTTCATTTTTTTTTTTAAAATAGTAATATTTTTAATCTGATATGAAATGTAAAAATCAAAATTTAGGTATTTAATATATAAATACAGTAAAATTGAGAGGTATGTACGTAAATGTTCTTATTTAATATTTGAATCAAATCTACAATTCTAATGTGAATAAAGATCTGCCGTCCATCAAATATTGAAGCCTAAGGTTAGGGTTGCTTTCGAGTGGGGATTTGGAGCGGGGCAAACGAGCCTATACTGCTCGAGAAAGCCAGGCCACGGGGTCGACCCTGCGGCCGGCTTTCTTCCTTTTTAGCGGCAATCAACCGTTGCCGCTGAAGGAAAGCACGCGAAAATTTTTTTAACTTTCCGGTTTGGGGCCGCGACGCTCGAAAAATGAGGCCCCAGATGGAGCCTAAGAGGGGCAAAATAACATGGCGTCTTTTCGTGTAAATAAAATAGTGATGATTGTAATTATTTTGTTATATTTTTTATTTGTCTTCCACGTGTTTTCGCAGGGATTTTTAATCCCATTTTTAGGATAGTTGTTTATCGCACGCCATCATAAGAATATGTTCATAGGGAACGTAAAAGAACCTAACACAGGGGAGCCTGGGTTAAGCTCTTGTTCGTGGCTCGTTAAAAATTATCACTATTCGTGTTTGACCAGTTTATATTTCCAACATAAAAATTTTATTTATGTTTGACTTGTTTGCTTAACGAGCTGAACACGAGATATTTGCGAAAAAAAAACTATTTTGACAACCCTAGTTATGCATGCAACCGTTAGAGGTGTAAACAAACAGAGCTTGAGTGAGTCCATACTCGATTTGTTAAAAAATATTATTGTTCTTGTTTGACTCGTTTATTTAACAATCTCAAAAAATTTGTTTGTGTTTGGCTTGCTTGCTTATCGAGCCGAACACAAGCTATTCACGAACAATATATTAGAATATTCATTTAATCTTGAGAATTTGGTGTTATTTTGGTCGTACCACAGCTTTATTTTGGTAGTACCACAACGTAACGTTTCTTTCATGTGGATTTGGTGTTACTTAGGTATTATCACGGTGATACACCGGTTGGGTTTTGTAGTTGTTTTCCATCTCCGGTTGTTCGGTATAATATAAGTTCTGGGCTGATATCGAACAAATCAAACACGAGCTACATAACGAGCCGAACACTAGTTATTTGCGCAAAACGAGTTGCGCAAAACGAGCCGAACACTAGTTATTTGCGCAAAACGAGCTATTTTGAAACGTTTATTTATTTATTTGTTACTTATTAAGTATTAGAAATATAATTTTTAGAAAAAATAGCATACATAGCAACTAATTTTTATGAATTTATTATCTCACATCTAAAGTTACATTCTTACCCAAATAACATTTTACTTATAGATAAAAATATAAATTTAACTGTTAAAATGTGATAATGAATAAATAAAACAAACTTTTGGAGTTCGATGTCTAATTACATTGGATCCGCTTTCTTTTCAAATCCCTCACGATCGATTTCTGTCCCCGAGAGAAATTTTTTAAAAACCCTCACTTCGATCTCCCTCCGTAGCTCTCTGCGGGCATGGTTTCGAGAGACGTCCAGCCAATTCCTCGGCCATGGATCCTGGATCTCGTTCCACTCCTTGTTGTCTTTCTCATAGCTGCCCACGTATTGGCGCTGGTAACGATCACCTTCATTATCCGATCTTCTTCTCATCCGCACTGATCTAGAGCTCATTTTGATATTGTAATTGTACATTATGTTTTCTGGTTAGGTTTATTGGATCTATCGGTTAGCGACTGATAAGCAAAACCAGAGGAGGAAGGCGCACTAGGGTTTGTTTTCTACTGTAAGCATTTCCACCTCTTTAGTCCCATAATTCAGCGAACGAAAAAAGCTACTTTATATTTTAATTGGTAGTTTTCATGATTGTTATATATCATTTGTGTTTTAGGGGCTGTTTGGTATCCTGTGTTAGGCAGAATTTAAGGAAGATTTGGCTTATTTCCGCCAGACAGAATTTTCAGCTCCGTAATTCATGGTTTTGTTAATCACATCATTCACAGGATTTAATGGGATTCAAGAATATCTCCCCCAATAATCTTATATCTCGAAACAATTCACTTAACTATATATCATGATTTAACCACATTTGACAGCTGCCATGCTAAATACTTTTTAAATTTTAATCCTCTATATTTTTTAAGATTTGATTTATGAGAGTTCTTATGTCTTATCCTATATGCAGCCAAACAGTTCCTTATTGATGTTTTTGTTAAGTTTTGATGACTTTTATAAAGGAAAAATTTAGGGCAGTGATATTCTAATAAAATTTTTGGCATGTATATACATACTACCCAATTCCTATGTATTTACATATCTAACATCTAAACTTTACTTTTTAACATTTAAACCACCTAAATCTTTCCTATCACATAAAAAAAATATCACTATTTTAACTTATAAAAGGGGAATACACATTTTTATGCATGGGCAAGGTGACATGTATGTAAAAATTGAAGTTTTGATGTTAGATAAGTAAATATATAAGATTGGGAACAAATTATAACTAAGGAAAATTTACATACATATCACACAATTCTTATCCTTGTACATATTAATACTAAAGTTTGATATTTACCTTTAAGAAATTTTGTTATAAAAACCTATGCATGAAAATGTGTATTTCACTTTTTAAAAGTAAATGATAGTGGTATTTTTGATTTGATGTCAAAGATTTTAGTGTTATGTATATTAATATGAAAGTTTAGGTGTTGATATGTAAATATATAAGAATTGTATTGTATGTACATAAATGGCCCGATAACTGAATCATGTATAAAACTATTCTAGAGAAAACTCATGAACTTGAATTTTAGAAAGGGTTACAAGACATTAATATTCTTCGTATGGAGAAACTATGATTATACCCTCATCCTAACATGATGGAAAAAGTTGTGAAGTTAAATATGAGCAAGTAACTGACAGGTAGGCATAACCACAACATAATCGGAGGAAGCCATTGAAAATAACCAAAAAAATGAAGAAATTATTAACCAAATATAAATTTAAAAACTTGTTTTATTATACCTGCATCTCCTTATTTTGTGTCAACGGTACCAAAAGATTGAAGAACCAACTCTTTCTTCCGAACATTGTTTTCTTTGGAGAAAAAAAAATGTTTAGAGAGTACATTCACAAATAGTTAAGAGCTGGTGAAATTAAATCAACTACTAATTATGTCTTTTTCTTGGGTGGAATTGTCATTTCCTAAAAATTTGTGAAGCAGCCATTGATTGCATTGTCTACAATGGAGAATCAACTAATAACACATCAGACAAAACTAGCAATTATGTACAATGACTTACTGATTTTTTAATGTGCATTCCCATGATAAAGACAACATTTTGCTTGCCTAGAATTTTGTAACGATCAATCTACCACTCTAGTATTCAATAAGATAATTTTTTTATTAAAAAATAGCGCATCTAATGGAAGGATAAAAGCAATTAAAGTATCATTTTATTTGTAAAATTAGAAAAAAACATCCTTTTTGACAGTAATAGCAGCCTAAAATTTTTATCGCTAAAAACCTAAACTTGCAATTCCCATAACACTTTAAAAAAAAAAATCCCCTTCCGTACGTTGAGGTATATTTTGATAATTTATGGATTTGTTATTGCATTTAATGTTGCCAAATTATATTTACAAGGTTAAACTTGTCTTTAAATATTTTTTTAACAAAATGTTTGATGACAAAGCGAGGATCACATGCCAAGAAAGAAATTATTTATAAAGAAAATACCAATGTTCGATTAAAACCTAGCAACTCAAAATCATTTTCATTGATTTTTTTGCTGTAATCTAAATCACTTTGGTAATTGAATTCCTCTATACGCTGCGATGTTTCCCTTAACGTCGTGCTTACCCGTGACTCGCCTCACCCAGTTGAGTAAAATTGTGCTTATCCATGCCTCGCCTCACCCAGTTGGATTAAACTTAGCATGAACCGCTAAACTATTATCTTTTTATAAGAAAATAAAAGTGATAAACCAATTTGTAAATCAAATTAAATTATTTATTTTAAAATGGAGGGGAAGTTATGAGTACCCTCAAGCATTGTTTGCTTGCAAGATTCAAGCAAAATGTAAGCAGATATTAACCTAAATCATGCCAAAAAACAAAAATGTAACTTTAAATCCTAAGAAATCTTAAATCATAGATTATACTTTAAGTGCAATAACGATTATATTTTTGAAGAATATGATTAAGATAATAATGTTTTGAGGCACTTTTTAAAATTTAGTAGACGTGTTAGATTTGGGTGTTGCTTGGTTGTAAGTAGGATTTAGCTCATAAGATTTTAAAAAAATTGTAAATTCAAATTGAATAAATATAATCTCCTCAACAGCATAACAATACTGAACTTTTAAGCCCAAATGGGTACAATGTCAATAAAACTAAGATTTCAAAACAAAAAAAATTAATTAAAAAGAAATATTAATTTCAAATTAAGGCAATCACAAAAAATTCTCAATTCAAAGAAAATAAATTTTGTTATCTTTTTTCACAATTTGAGCTTGAGAATACTAAATTCATATGTAAATACTACCCACCCATCACCTAATCCTTGATTAATTGTCTTTACTTCCAACGTAATCATGCATAATTACTAATCACTTTACTTCAAAGTTTCAGACATATCTTAGCCCCTAATCACAAGACGAAGAAGGTGGAAGTAAATGGTGACGATGATAGCTAAAGTGAAAGCAGCGCTACTTGGCCGCGTCGTCTTGATTCCAAGAAACTCACGCACTAATGGTGATGAAATAAACCTAACAATGTCATTTCTCTTCTTCAATAATACATAGTTAAAACCTGATTCGCCCACAACAAACTTTAACATCTTTTCGAATCAACGAATCTAAAACTCCCCTTTATGCTGTTGTTATGCACGGAGCTTACTCGTTACCGACTCAAATTTAACAGCTCTTCTTTCGTTTATCTTGTCTTTGCTTTTTCTGCGACTTAAACTTGGATGACTTTTGGGAAACTCGAAAAAAGATAAAAAATATACAATTACATACAAACTACCAAAAACATTGATATTTATAAATTATCTATTCAAATATTTTTTTGAATAATCTATGTATTTACGCTTGGCATGATCAAACTATTGATGATTTGATAAAAATGAAAAATATGGGTTGAAATTTTACAATAAATTATGATAATTGAGTGAGAATTTGAAATTAGACAAAAGGGGGTGGTTAATTTGTAAATTGAAAGTTTTGAGTGGTTCAGATGTAAATTGGTCCCCCCTCCACACTCAAAAGTTTCAATTTATAAATCAACCACTCTCTTTTGTTTATCTTTCAAATTCTCACTCAATTATCAAAATTTATGGTAAAACTTCAACTCATATTTTTCAATTTTATTAAATTATCAATATTTTGATTGTGGCAAGCATAAATACACAGGTTATTCAAAGAAATTATTTGGGCGACTAATTTGTGAATATCAATGCTTTGGGTAGCCTGTATGTAATCATGCCTTTGTTATCTTTTTCTCGGATTTCCCAGAAGCCATCCACGTTTAAGTTGCAGAAAAAACAGAGACAAGAGAAGCGAAAAAAGAGCAGTGAAATCTGAGTCAGTAATGAGAAGTTCCGTGCATAAAAACAACAAAAAAGAGAGTTTCAAATGCTTCTAGACCACTCAAAACTTTCAATTTATAAATCAACCACTCTCTTTTGTCCATTTTTCAAATTCTCACTCAATTATCAAAATTTATGGAAAACTTCAACTCTTATTTTTCAATTTTATTAAATTATCAATAGTTTGATTGTGGCAAACGTAAATACATAGGTAATTCAAAGAAATTATTTGAGTGACTAATTTGTGAATATCAATGTTTTGGGTAGCCTGTATGTAATCATGTCTTTGTTATCTTTTTCTCGGATTTCCCATAAGCCATCTAGATTTAAGTTGCAGAAAAAGTAGAGACAAGAAAAGCAAAAAAAAAAAGCAGTAAAATCTGAGTCGGTAATGAATAAGCCCCGTGCATAAGAACAACAGAAAAAAGAGTTTCAAATGTGTTGATTCGGGAAGAAAAGTTCTGAATTTCGTTGTGGGCAAATTAGGGTTTAACTAGGTATTCATTGAAGAAGAGAAATGACATTGTTGGATTTATTTCGTTGCCAGTATGCGTGTTTCTTGGAATCTGGGCAACGTGGTTAAGGTAGCACTGCTTTCGTTTCAGTTATCATCGTCATCATTACTTCCACATTCTTCTTGTGATTAAGGGTTGAGGCATGCCATAAACTTTGAAGTAAAGTGTTTAGTAATTATGCATGATTATGTTGGAAGTGATGACAATTAATGAAGTATTAGATGATGAGTATCATTTACATATGAATCTAGTATTGTCAAGCTCGGATTAAGAAGAAGATAATATAATTTATTTTTTTTTAATTAAGAAACTTTTGTAATTACATTAATTTGAAATTAATATTTCTCGTTAACTTTGAAATCTTAGTTTGATTGATATTGTAGTTAATTGGACTAAGATTTCAGTTTAGTTATGTCGTTAGAGGTGATTATGTTTATTAAATCCGAGTTTACAAATTTTTTACAATCTTATTTGAGTTAAATCCTACTTATTACAAGTTGCAACTAAACATCACCTAAATTTAACGTCTTCTAAAAAAAAAAAAAACTCAATACATTATTATCTTAATTATATTATTTAAAATATAATTGTTATTGCAGTTCAACAAAATAGAATGTATAATTTATGTTTTAAGATTCCATAAGATTTAAAGTTACAACTTTGCTGTTTGGCAGGATTTAGGTTAAATTCTACATAAATTTTGCTCAATTCTTGTAGCCAATCAGCACCTAAGGGTAGCTATAATTTCCCCTCCCTTTTAAAATAAATAACTTAATTTAATTTACAAATTATTTTGACAATTTTATTTTCTTATAAAAAACAATAGTTTAGCAGTTTGTGCTAGGTTTATTGCAATTGAGTGAGACATAGGTAAGCACGATGTTAAGGGAAACATCACTATGGATAAGGGAATTTAAGGGCAAAATTGATTTAGATTATCAACAAAAAAGATCAATGAAAGTGATTTTGAGTTGCTAGGCTTTAATTATACATTGTTTCTTTATAAATTATTTTTTTCTTAGCATATCATTCTACCTTTGTCATCAAGCCTTTTGTGAAAAAAATTATTTAAAAATAAATTTAACCTTGCAAACATGCTTTGGCAACATTAAGTGAAATAACTAATCCATAAGTTGTCAAATGAACACCCTCAACGTACTATGAGAGTTGCATGATTTGGTTTTTAGCAATTAAATTTTTAGACTGATAGTACTGCCAAAAGGAGGTTTTTTTTTATTTTACAATAAAATTATACTTTAATTAATTTTTTTGTTTCCATTAGATGCTCTATTTTATAATTAAAAATTTTTCTTATTGAATACTAGAGCTGTAGATTAATCATTACAAAATTGTAGGCATGCTGCATGCTGCATGTTGTCTTTATCATGGGAATGCACATTAAGAAATCTATAAACCATTGTAAATAATTGCTAGTTTTGGCTAAAATTTAATTAGTTGTCCCTCCATCGTAGACATTGCAATCAAGACCAACTTCACAAAATTTCAGGATAGAGTGATTCCATCGAAGAAGAGGACATGATTGGTAGTTGATTTAATTTTATTCGAATCAATGATCTTTTTTGCATGGTTACTACCTTTGATGCACAAATTCTTCAAATCAAAAAGTCGTTTAGTGTCAGACATGGACATGGCTCCGGCAAGACATAAAGATGTCCAATTTAATTAATATTTTAAAAAAATGTGGCACACTTGTCCTATATTAATTAATTTAAATTTATGAAATTTTTTATGACAAACTAAAAAATATATATAAAATTTAAGATTGATTTACATGCATGCAACTCAATTTTTTTGAATTTACGTTTCTACCACAAAAAAATTAATTTTCACATATATGCCACCTATGTATATATATATGTGTGTGTGTGTGTGTGTGTGTGTGTGTGTGTGTGTGTGTGTGTGTGTGTGTGTGTGTGTGTGTGTGTGTGTGTGTGTGTGTGTGTGTGTGTGTGTGTGTGTGTGTGTGTGTGTGTGTGTGTGTGTGTGTGTGTGTGTGTGTGTGTGTGTGTGTGTGTGTGAGTGTGTGTGTGTGTGTGTGTGTAAAATAAATGGTGAGTTTTTTTTTTTTAAATTGAAAATTGTGGTATAGTAGATGCGATATGAAAGTTTCGAGTGACAAATATAAAAATCAAAATTTAAGTGTTAGATATGCAAATATATAAGAATTTAGTGCCAAAGAAGTTGATGATTCTTTTTTTTTTTCCATTTAATGAATAATTGATTTACATAACTTAAATCTTGATGTAATCCAAGATAATTTATGTTTATTTTTGCTATGTCATAAACTAAACAATTATTTATGAATATCTTAGGGACCTTTTGGGATCACTTTTATTTTTTCTTTTTCTTTTTTATGTTTTGATTTAAATTAAAACATATTTGGTTGAGGTAGTTGTTTTTAATGACACTCAAAATATTTTTTATATGTTTTGATTTTTTTAAAATATAATTTGATTAATTTAAAAACATGTGTGTGTGTATTAGATCAACTAAAACATAAAATAAAAGTGATGGCCTAACAAGCTTTTAATTTTTGAAAATTAATGCTATTATTTTTTTTAGTTTTGTTTTTTGTATTATTCTTTATATTTTATACTTTATATCTATATTTTTTAATAATATTTAGTATAATTGTGTGTTTATATCATATATTTTCAATAATAGACGTGTCTTGTGTCCATATCCGTGTAATATAGATTAGGACCTTCAATTTATATAGGAAAACCAATAAAATGTAAACTATTACAAAAATTACCTTTCAAATACCTAAATGCCTTATTTAAGTTATTGAAATATTGATTTAGAATTCGCACTCACACAATATTTTCTGAGCACTTTGTATGGTGTGACATATAAGGGTTCTTTTATATCAATCCTCAGTAATGAGGCGACACAATAGTTACTGAACCAAATTTAAACAACATTAAATAATAATTTACATCAAATATAAGAGTACATTCAATAATAGTAGTTTTCAGCTATTTGAAATCCAATTAAAAAAAGATATGAATAATGCAATGATATAAGGAAACTTGAAAATTAGAAATATACTCCTTGAGATTGTTTGACAATCTAGGTATCGAAATGTAGAGTCAACATAAAATAAGAGAGTGAAGATAAGGAGGCGATAAATATTATTGTGAATAAGCTTTTGAACCAGAGTTTTTAGAGAAATATCACCAAGAAGTAATTAGTTTTGACTAGAGAGAATGGAAAATCAATGAATGACTTAATGTCTGTGAGAAATAGTGAAGAGAAGGACATTTGTGCATAGTTATTATTGTAGGTGCTGAACCAGACCAGAAAATTTGAACAAGGATTTTGCTTTGAGCTTTGATTGAGCACACGATGCTTTGATGCGACACAAGGAAGAAGTATGCAATATAAACTTTGCTGTGATACTTCGGGCATACTCCGAATTTTAGTATTTTTTATTTGAAATTTTAGTAGTTTTTTTATCAATTTGAAGTTTAAATTATGTTAAAAGCCTTGTGCAAGTGAAATTTAAAAATGAAGCCTTTATTATGGTATTTTACTCCTGAGAGAAACCTCAAGCTTAAAAATTATCGAATGTGATCAAGATCTTTTTGAGGACCTACACACTTCTCATTGAGATGATACTTCGGGCATACTCCGAGTCAATCAAGAGGGAATTTCTCTTGGATACAATCTTTCAAAATTGATTGGGATAACCTAGGTCATATTTTATGGAAATTTGCATTGTATTTATTTGGGTCAATCCTTCTAACAATCTATTCACTTAAACTATTTTTAATTTTTATCTATCAATTATTACAATTTTACTAATATATTGTGATCTAATATTTTTTTTTTCTTTATTTAAAGTATCTAATTTTTAATTATCTCCACATATAAAAAAAACATTAACCCCTCACCTTCCCTTAATTTATATGTATTCTTCTTGTTCATTATTCCTAACCTATTCTTCTTTATTTGAATGGAAAAAAAGGCAGGTAGTTCGCAGATTGGAAAGAGGAAAAAGTTTAACTGAAGAAAAGAACTTAGCTGTTGAGGTTAAGAATATCAGTATATAAAGGAAGAATTTTTTTTTTAAACTTAATTGGACATTAAAACGTACATTCCCTTGTAAGCACCAGCCCTCAAAACTATTTGTGGCTGAACTCTCTACTCACCTTTTTTCTCCAAAGAAATGAATGCTGAAAAGACACAGTTGATTCTTCAATCTTTTGGTACCTTTGACACAAATGAGGAAGACACAGGTACGATAACGTCTGTTTCTTAATTTATATCTGGTTAATAATTTCATTTTTTGGTTATTTTCAACGGCTTCCTAGTTCCTCCCATTATGTTATGGTTATGCCTACCGGCCAGTTACTTGCTCATATATAACTTCACATCTTTTTCCATCTTGTTAAGATGGGGGCATAATCAAAGTTTCTCCATATGAAGAACATTGATTTCCGGTAACCCTTTCTAACATTCAAGTTCATGAGCAATCTCTAGAATAGTTTTATACATGATTTAGTCATCAGGGCATTTACATACATACAACATACCATACAATTCTTATATATTTACATATCTAACACCTAAACTTACATGTTTATACAAAACACTCAAATTTTTGATAATCCATAAAAATACCACTATCAAATACTTTTTAAAAGTGAGATACACATTTTTCTGCATAGGTTTTAATAACAAAATCTCATAAATGTAATGTTCAAACTTTAGGTGTTAATATGTTGAAGGATAAGAATTGTGTGCATGTATGGAAATTTTCCTTGGGTATAATTTGTTCCCATTCTTTGGATTGTAGTAACAGATTTGTCATGCTTTCTTTTTTAATAGCTAAATTCACGTGCGATTTTCTTGGTCTTTTGACTAGTTCTCAACCATATTATAGGAGGTCCAACTACATTGCTTGGTTTACTGGAAAAATAATTTCGGTCAAAAGCAAAGCAATTTTTTGTACAAGTATCAGGTTACTTTAATAGATATAAAATGGTCGGTCTGAAGCAATCAAAATATGCAAAATACACAGAAGTTAGAATTCACCTGAATAGACAAACAAAGCAGTGACCCCCATGCAGGGTAACTAGCACATAAGCAGTAGGATTTAGCTTTAATTTGAATAATTTTCATGTTAATCTATCCTAAATAGTAGGGCTATAATTGAGTCGAGTCGAGCTGAGTATATCGTAAATAGAATTGACTTGCTAATATTCTAAGTTATTTATGTTTGGCTAAAGCTTGAGCCAAGCTTCACATGTATGTTCAAGATTGGCTTGTGTAAAATTTTTAATTCTCGAAGTTGATTTATACTTTATTTATTTATGTTAATTGAATGAACGTTTAAATGTGTTAATAAACAAGTTAAAAATTCAAACTAGTGTCAGGGTCAACAAACAGTTTCACCTAAACCCTAAATAAATAAGCAATTAAATAAATTTTGAGTTGTTATGTTATTATTTTATACAATTTAAATAATAAAATATATACTTTGCAAATAAGCTTTCTTGCAGTCAAATATTCTAAGTATGTACTAGTAAATTAGTTCATTAAAATAAAAAAAAAAGTAAGAATGAATTGCATTAAATTAGTCAGCATATTTATTAATTATATCTTAAATAATTTGAAAAAAATTAAAGCTAAAAAGTTATGAATATTATTGAATAAGAAGTATTTTGTGTGAAACAAACTCATGACAAATCCTCAAAATGATTGCATCACTTTTATCTCATTAAAAATAAGCTGATTTAATATAACTAAAAAAGTCAATAAAAAAAGAACTCATCAATTTCGTCGAGGAAAAATATATTATAATTTCTAACATTCATTTACTTGGAATGTGTATATTGTTATGGACGAGAAATTCAATCAACTTATTAATATTTGATTAGTTGAATAATTTTTTAATTAATGATTAATTAACTTAATAAATGAGTAATTAATAATTATTAAATTATTAACAAATTATAAATTAGTTTAACTGAATTTTTAAAAATAAATTATATACCTAGTGAATAATTAATTGATCATAAACACCATAAAAAATAATAAAAATAGATAAACAAAATTAAATTAGTCTTAATGATTTTGTCATTAATAAGTAATATTATATTCATAATTGTATTGATAGACTTAAATTTTGAAATAAATTGCAAAACAAATTCGATGGATTTAATTCGATTTTAACTTCTCTCATGTCAAACAATTTTTAGAATTTAACCACCACAAGATTTACCAAATTTGAATTTGCAGGATTTGTTAAATGCTACTTGTAGCCAAACAACCATTAAAAAATAGTGTATAGATGTGTGTGTGTGTTGTGAATATAAGAAAAAATGAGAACTAGAAGTTGATTTATTTATATACTAACTATTATTAATCTAAATAGTTTGTTATAGTTAATAATAATAAAACTTAAGTCATATATTTTAATTATAAATGTATTAATTTTTAATCACTTATATCATTTGTAATTTGGGCAAAGGCAAAAGAAGATTTTTGGAAACTGTGAATGAGAAGAAAAGGGCGTGAATAAGGCAGAATTGTGAAAAGAGAAGAGTGGTTGAAGGCCTGAATCTATTGTGTTTTAAGTGAATCACGATCTATAGATGAGGAAAAAATTAAAGATATATAATATTATATAATTAACGTTAATTATGTGATATATATATATACATATATATATATATATATTATAATAATTAATTAATATTAAAAGGTGAGTCGAGCTCAGAGTGTTCATCAAGTGCATTGATCCATTTGCAATAAGGCTTTAGAGCCAAAATCGAGAATCAAGACGTTTTCTTTCAAGGCGAGGCGTAACCCTCAAAAATAGAAGAAAAAAAGAATAGAAAAAACTCATAAAATTAAACTAATTCATATGTATGACATGTAAAAAGCCACAAATCTTGATCAGTAAACTTATAATTTAAATATGCTAATAAACTTCGCCAGTTCACTTAATAACACATGCATATAGTTTCCCAAATCTCAAATATAAAACAAAATTGTAAAAAATTGAAATAAGCTTTAAACATTAAACTTAAAATTTGCTACAAGAATCAGAATCTATAGCGATATCATCATCATTTTTATCATCTTCGGAAGAATGATCATATGTAATAACTCTATGTTCTTCGAATTATGTGTTATCATCATCTTCAAATCTTCTTCAATCATCATATATTTCATTTTACTCCCTACATCATATAACATTGAATTCAATATAATTTTAAATAAAATAATAAATTAGTAACACAACAAAGTAATCAATTATACTTTAATTACATAATTACCTTGAGATTTTTTTGAAGCTCCAACTCCATTTTACTTTTTTCTTTTAAATGATTGTGAAGTAGAAGTTGCTCCCAACTTAATATCTCTATGACCGCTTTTATCATTAGACATAATATCATCAATAATCAAATGATCTATTCCATCACTATAATTTTTTAGATGTTGCGGCTTCAAGTGTCTATCATTTAATTTTTTATTGAGTATAACATAAACAAATTTGTTCATTCTACCTGCAGCCAATCAATTTCTTCTCTTTGTATGCAGTGAATTGAATACGCTCCAATTATGCTCACATGTTGAAGCCGAATAAGACTAATAACTTTCACGGCAAATGTTTTGAGTTCAGACACATCATCTCCGAATTGTGTTCACTAATTTTCTAGCATAAGATTAAATAAAATTAGCTATATATATTAAGATAATAACTTTATATGTAAATGATAAGCCTAGATTTAAAATTATAGATAAATGATATTTACCATGTGAGCGTGTCTTGTAGCAGGCTTGAGCTTCTCTAAATCCAAACATTCCATTTTTTTAATGAAAATCTTCAAGTTCATCATTCGCTTTAAGATAATCAAACTCAGGGACAGTAGTATACATGTATTTATATAAACTTGCACTAATCTCTTTTTGAATATAAAAGTCATTGTCGTAATGAAATCGAGGATTCAAATAATATGCAATAGTATTTAAACGTTGATGGAGTTGACAATCTCATTTGTCGTCAATGATTTCCCATATTTCCTTGTAAGCTGCTTCTTGTCATTCTAAATCTTTTGTTATTTCTCATTTTTTTTGTTCATAGCTTCATAAAAAAATTCCGTGGGAGGACCCCTCTCACCATCAACCATTCATAATACTTTCACTAAAAGCGCAGTAGTTTTCAAAGCATAATTAATATTGCACCAAAATGACTCATCTCTCATAATACTCTTCTTCACTTGCTTTCCTCTTATTTTTTTGCCCATGAACTTTTATCCCATTATTCATAAGCAAACATAACCTCCAAAGGTTGCTAGAACTTTTTAAATGTGTGCAAAGTCAAATTAGTCGTGACAAATCTTGTAATTGTTGGTTGGATAATTTTTTATCTGTGAATTTTTTTGCCCGATACCCTGGAATGGTTGTAAATAAATTTACTTACTGTCTTTGTTTTAAGCAAAAGAGATTTTGTTACAACAATTATTCCAATTTTTCAAGTATTAAATCAAGACAATGAGCAACACAAGGAGTTTAGTAAATGCTTTCTTTTATTCATTAACATCCTTCCATCACCTTTATAAGCACTTGCGTTATTTGTAATAACTTGAACAACCATACTCTCCCCAACTTTTTTAACAATTCCATCAAGCATTTTAAATAGCAATTGTATATCTTTTACAAAGACCGATGCATCAATATATTTCAAAAATACCATTCCATAAGGTTTGTTAATAAGAAAACTTATAATACTTTTTTGTCTGATATCAAACCAACCATATGATATTATAGTAACATCTATCTCAACCTATGTCTATTTCACTTCATCTACCATTCTTGTCGTAGTTCTAACCTCTTAATCCAACATTCAAGTTAGCATCTCATGCAAATAGGAAGTTATAGCCCTCTCCCTTAATTTTTAATAGAATGAAACATGTTGATCCATGAAAGTCTTCTAATCATATTAATGAGATTCCATTCTCATAAAAACACCTTCAATATCTAAGCACTCTATTTCTATGCTATTTTGTTGAAGAAGGAGAAGGAATTGTTTGAGAGTCAATATTGTCATCTTTATCTACATTCACAACAAATCCATCCATTGGTCCTTGAGTTCTTCTATTAGAAGAAAGCAAATGACTTCCACTGTTGTAATCATCATATTGGGAGCCAAAGTATGAATTATTCCTAATCATTTTTTCTATGTTTCTTTGCTTTGTTTCTTTTAAAGTGACTTTTTTAAAAAAAAAATTCAAGACATTCTTTTTTGACTTCATTTGACACTCTCTCATGCTCTAATACTTACATGTGTGCAAGCCAAGTGATCTTGAAGTCTCTTAATACCACCAGTAATTCACTTGTCACAAAATTTTTATTTCAAGCATATCTTTTCTTTGCACTTTCTCCTAACACTTCAACTTGAGTCCCATATTTTCAAGTTGGACCTTTTCTTCTTATACCACCACCCATTATAAAGAACACATGCAAATGTTTCTTCAAACAAAGCAATTATTTAAAGCAAAAATGATTGTTCATATTATAAGCTACATAAATCAATGCAACATGACCATTTAAATTGAAAATGTAAAGATAACTTTGCCTTCTAATTTTCACATTTATGATTAAACAGACAAATCATTTTTAATGCAAAATGAAAATGATTTAGGAAATATAGGCATAATTTCATCAATCATTGAGAATTTGATAAAATTGAAAAAGATAACCTTGCCTTCAAAACATACACTTTATTGGCTCCATAATTCAACTGATGATTAAATGGTTGTCAAAATCTGAAATTACCAAGAATCTGAGAAAAAAAAAATGATTCACTCCACAAAAAGGAAGCCAATATCCGTCAAACTAGACAAAATCATAATCCCGCGTGCAAAACGTTGTTGAATTATTCAGGAAATAAAAGGTAAAATCTATCAATCATTGGGATTTTGATAAAATTGAAAAATATGGGTTGGGGTTTTATGTTGAATTTTTATATTTGAGTGAGAATTTGAAAAATGGATGAAATAAGGTGCTGGTTATGTAAGAACAATGTCTCGATTGCTATGTATCCCAAAAATGTTAAAATTGAATGCTCACGGGAAAAATAAGAGGGTAACTGGAATTATGTCTCGGTTGTGCGCGGAAATGCAAGTAGGAATTTGGAATCTCCTGATTTGCATCAGAATTTTCTCTATATAAAGAATTAGCAAATTAGAATGATAAGTTCTTACATATAGTGCCGAATATCAAATTTCCTTATTCTTCCCTCAGCTAGAAGGACGATTATTGTTTTTGCTAATTCCAACTATAAATTTATGGCATATTCAAAGTTCACGAACATATAGATTATTTAATACACCAATTATGCCTCAAGTTGCAATAATATGAATATTCGATTACTGTGAAATAAAATAATGGAATATTTTAGAGCATCATGTATGATTTAGCATTATTTTAGATGTATGCGTTACCACTATCTTCCTATGTTATTTTATGGAGAAATTTAATGAAATTGGAATGCTAAATGTCTTCAAAATTCTCTTAAAAATCATGAACTTACTTGCTGCCATGGTACGCACATTGACTGCGTATATTATATTTATCTAGGAAGATAATGGTAATGGAACAATTGTTATTTGTTTTAATGCTTTTGGTAGACTAAACTTTCACCATCTCCCTTTAAGTTCTAGCTTAATCATTTCACCGTGTATCTCTTTGTTTTTGAAATACGTTCAGGATAGAAAGTTATAAAATCAGATATATCATTATCAATTTTGAATCCAATGGGGGTAAAATCCTAACCAAGTTTCAATAGTTATGGGGGCAAGCATCAATGATTTGGAGAAGATAAAAATTTAAATTTACATTTTAATAGCTCTGTTCTTGTCTGCCTTTTGCTTCAAATTTTATTTTTATTTTCTACATTATCTGTGGTAATCATCATGTTATGAAGGGCTTGAACTAAGGTGCTGATGTATGACTTATTACCGAAACAACAATGAAAACCTGTCATTATCCAATATCGAATCATTTGATATATATAGATCCATCTTGCTAAGAGATGATTGATATTAATGGTGTGGGGAGGAGTTTTTTGGAGGATTGCTCTGTAGTGTGCTAATTTATTTCGGCTGTAGGTTTTTTTTTTACTTACTTTCATTCTCACCTCATCATGCTTTCTTCTTAAAGCAAACATTTAGAGCGCATTTAGATGTCTTACATACATATTGCAATAAATATTTGGAAGCATTGCCTTCCCTTAGGATAAAATTTTGAGGCATTTATGCATACCATCCGATTCTTATTATTTACATATCTCACACTTAAACTTTACTTTTTACATTTCTGCCATAGTTTTTCATTTCACATAAAAAATACCACCTTTTAAACTTTTAAAAAATGAAATTCACATTTTCATGCATAGGTTAGGTGACATATATGTAAAAATTGAAGTTTAGGTGTTAGAAGTTTAGGTGTTGAAGTTTAGGTGTTAGATATGTAAATACATAGGAATTTAGTGGTATGTTTGTAAATTTACCTTAATGTAATGGTCCTACCACCTATCTATTCTATTCTGTTTTTCACATAAATTCATGATTAATCAGTGTAGGTTCTACAATATATGTAAAAATTGACGATTAATTTTTTTCAAGTACATTAATATTTGAATTTATGAATTAGTTTGTTTGGATGTTCGAACACGTGTGCCCTTGATGAGCTAAGTTTCCGGGACAAAAACAACTGAATTGCATTCATTTTTTGGTTTAAATTTTCTTGCTATGTTTTTGTTGGGGTAGCTCCAGTGGCAGACAAGATCAGAGAGAGTCATTTTGCAACCCCATCACTCACAAACTATTGCAATAACAGTATATGATGCTTAAAAAGATTCAGATTTTGTTCATTTTTTTGTAAATTTCCAACTCTTAAGGGCATTACAATTATTTTGTTTTGGGCATTATTACATTCATTGCACTCAGTTCTTATGTATCTATATATCTCACATATAAGCTTTCATATTTACACACATAGCACTAAAATCTTTAATATCACATTAAGCACCTTTATCACTTTTTAAAAACAAAATACATTTTTTCATGTATAGGTTTAAAGAACCAAAGTGCTATGTAAATATAAAAATTTAGGTGTGATGTATGTAAATACATAATAATTGTGTGCTGCCTCTGTTAATCTTTGAGAGAATTGTTCAGTAGGACATCCTCTACATCCGTAGCATACTGTTTTCCTCTCATCCTTTTAAATTCAGAAAATTACTGAAATAATTCTGATGGTTAATACATTATAATTAACTAGTTTGTCATATCACAGATGGCCCGGTTAAGGAAAGATGCAAAGATCAGAGAGAAGCCCTTTTTGGCGAACCCCGCTGTGTTAATTGTGGACGTTATGGAGAATATATATGTGATGAAACTGATGACGACATATGCAGCAAGGAATGCAAGCAAATTCTTCTATCAAAGATTAAAAATGATGAAAAACCAACCTTAAAAATCAGTATTGCAAAAGTACCTGCAAGTGATGAGTGCTTTTATGTCAGGGATGATAGATCTTCCGCAGAATCTCTGAATATCAATCAGATTGAATCTTTAAGGGCAAAACTCGGAATTTCTGTCTGGGGAGAGTCCGTTCCTGGTCCCATATTGTCTTTCTCATCGTGCAATCTTCCAAAAAAACTTGAAGAAAATCTTGAGAACGCCGGCTACGGGTTACCTTCGCCCATTCAAATTGTTCCTGGTCCCATATTGTCTTTCTCATCCTGCAATCTTCCAAAAAAACTTGAAGAAAATCTTGGGAACGCCGGCTACGGGTTACCTTCGCCCATTCAAATGCAAGCCATCCCTGCCGCACTGCTTAATAGAAACTTAATTATTTCTGCAGACACGGGTTCTGGCAAAACTGCATCTTTTCTCATTCCCATCATTTCACGTTGTTCTCACATCCGACTTCAACACCTTCTTCCCAGCGAGAGAAAGCCATTAGCGATGATTCTCGCACCGACAAGAGAGCTCTGCATTCAGGTGGAAGATCAAGCTAAAATACTCGCAAAGGGTTTACCTTTTAAGACGGCTCTCGTGGTTGGTGGAGATGCGATGGCTTCGCAACTTCATCGTATGCAAAAAGGCGTCGAATTAATCATTGGCACGCCCGGTAGGCTGATCGATCTCCTCAGTAAGCACGACATCGAGCTCAATGAAGTTCACATGCTTGTTTTGGATGAAGTAGACTGCATGCTGCAGCGAGGCTTTCGAGACCCGGTGATGCGGATTTTCAAAGCGCTTTCACATCCTCAGTTGTTGATGGTTTCCGCGACAATCTCTCATGAGGTAGAGAAGATGGCAAACTTGATGACGAAAAACTTAACCTGTGTGTCAGCCGGGAGTCCGAACATGGCGACCAATTCTGTGAAACAAATTGTGATTTGGATTGAATCCAAGATTAAGAAAAAGAAGCTTTTTGAGATTTTAACTAGCGAAAAGCACTTCAAGCCTCCTATGGTTGTCTTTGTGGCTTCCAGACTAGGAGCTGATCTCTTATCTGAGGCAATTACTGGTACTACTGGCCTGAAAGCTCTTTCTATTCATGGAGAGAAGGCTATGAGTGAAAGAAGAGAGGTTTTGAGGCAGTTTCTTACAGGGGAAGTCTCCATTTTGGTCTCCACGGGTATTCTGGGGCGAGGAATCGATCTATTAAAGGTTCGACAGGTCATAATATTCGATATGCCGACTTCTATGAAGGAATATGTTCATCAGGTTGGAAGGGCTTCAAGCATGGGAGAAGATGGAACTGCAATTGTGTTTATTAATGCTGATGATAAGAAACTTTTTCAGGAGCTTTTTCATAATTTGAAATCTGTTGGAGCTGCTATTCCAAGGGAGCTTTCCAATTCACAGTATGTGATGGGTGGATACTCACACGCAAGGCAACGAAAGAAGAGAAAATTTGGTGCGTAAGACTTTATTCGTGTTTAACTATAGAAATATGTGTAGAAATTTTATGATTCTTTATATAGACTCGCCAGGTACGCTTTTAGTACATTCTGGTTATGTTTGTATTATTCATGAATCGACTTTTAAGTTGGGGTAAATTGTGTTGGTTTTTATTGGTGAAATATATATATATATATATACACATAATGTGATGCCTTCTAGTGATTTATGAACGAGAAATATTAAGCTTGAAATGATGCTCCAAAATTTGCCATAGTAGTTATAAACTTATAAATCAACATTATTAGAATATTTTTATTTATGCTTCTTCGGACGGTGCATCATTTGGATATAGGCACATCCTTATTGTGGGATGTGTATAATATACCCAAGGCAACATGGTATTTTCACATAATAGGGGTGCCTAACAATTATATATAGAGATGATTTCTCAAGTCTTGCTTTGATGGTTTTCATATCATACCCTCTTTGCTTAGAACTCTGATGGTGAGTTTGGAATATCTCTTGTTCTCGTCAACATGGCTCTTTCGACGGCTAGGGTTTCATCGGCTTCATTAGTATATGTTAAGGTTTTATGTGACATTCATTTTGAGGTTTCCTTCCTTGTTTGTGATAGGATATGTTAGTTATGCACAATATATAACTTAGGCATCAAACCATTAATGAAACCATCTAAGTATAGAAACTTATTGTCGCCTCTCGAGTGGTGGAGTCAAGGGGTGGTTCGAAGAGGCGCTCATAATTCTAAATATTTTAATATTATATAAGATACCTCAAATTTTGTATTTTTAAACATAAATATTTAATAATAATTTATTATTAATTATATTTTTTAACCTTCTTTTTTTATTTTGCATCTCTTTTTGGTATGTTGGTTCTATCAGAAGTGAAGTAATGAACTAATTTGGTGGTTACCACCGAGTTCCTCTGCGTGTGTATAGATATATATATCTTATAGGGTATTTACATGTACATCACTCAATTCTTATGTATTTACATATCTAACTACTAAAACTTTCATATTTTTACATTTATACCATTCAATTATTTCATCACATAAAAAAAAGCAGTCTTCTTTACCTCTAAGTGATGTACGAGTTTTTCGTGCAAGGAATGTAGAACAAGTGTTATAAAGGTTAAAACAAAAAGAATTGAGTGGTGTGCAAAGTCTTCATTTATCCGTTTTTTTAAGTTAAATATACCTTCATACTCGGTAATAACCTCTGTTATTCCACTATAATGACTCCAAAATAACACTGCGATGATTATTTTTAGGTAGAGAAACTATATATTTCAATTCAATAGCCACGAAATAACCCAAAAATAACCTTCGCGGTGTTATTTTTCTGGGTTATTGAAAAGAAACCCATCGCGGAGGTTATTTCTGAATTATTGCGGAGTTCACAGTTCAACTTTATTTTTTTTTTTTAGGTGAGCCCAACATGCACACATGATAATATATTACTGGGAGTCAGCATATTGGGCTAGGGAGTTCGAACAAAAACTTTTTTTGTAGATAGTATAAATTGACTAATTAGATATATAAATACATAAGAATTAAATCATATGCAATTAAATTCTCCTTTAAATATATATATATACAACATTGAATATAAATATATTAACCATCCCAAAATTAACAATTTTCACTCAAAAGCTTTCACTAGTTGTTAACGTAGAGTTATTCTAATAAAAATTAATTAAAATTTTATCTATAAAATTTAAGTTTAAAATGTTACATTAAATATTTTGGATGATTGCAACATAAATAAATAAAAATAAAAAAAGAAGAAATTAATACATTTAAGAAGCCATAGGACATGAGAACCTTCCAAAAAGAAGAAAAGTTTAGGTACGAAAGAGGCACATAGAATTAAGCGCAGAAGAAGGCTATTCAAAGGATATTGAGAGGTTATATCCATTTTATTGGGGGTATAACCTCACTGTAACCCCTAAATAACCTACAAATAAGCTTTGCGGTTCTGTTTTCATATATTTGTAAGTTATTTTGTATACTTGGAGGTTATTATGAGGATATATCTCCAATAACATTGATATAAGCCCTAGTACCCTTTAAAAAACCTACTTTGCACACCTAATTCTGAGCTAGTCTTCCGTACCTAAATACTTCTCTCCTAAAAAGGAAAAAAAATTGCGTACGTCAAGGGGTGCGCAGAGATGTGTACATAATAGAGTACACGGGGATTACAAGGGTTATAACCCGTTGTACCTCCCGTGTAACACCCGTGTAACCTCCCGTGTAACCCCGCTGTAACCTTGTAATCTCAATGGATAAAATAAAAGCGCGGGTTACAACTGAGTTACACGAAAGTTACATGGAAGTTATAAAACGCTTGTAACCCCCGTGTAACTCTCATATAACGCCCGTGTACCCTATTATGTACATATCTCCTTGACGTATGCAAATTTTTTCCCTCCAAAAAGGCTTCTTTAATTGTCCAACAAATTCAAAACGAGCAGAGCAAGCGCATCAACCAAACAGATCGAGATGCAAGTTTTATGAATGCTTTAATTTTGCAGAAAGGGTTAAAAAGATAGCCCATCTTCATAACACATTTAGTGATCTATAAAGATATAAAAGAAAAGACCCCATGATACGAATTTCCCAAAGATTATGTTCACTTCTTAAGTTTATCCATACACAAGTGGAGAATAATTACTTCAGCAATAGTTGTGCAGAGCCGAAGCCACAATGACATCACAGCAAATTTGAAGAGCAAGGAAGAAAGATCAAATAAATAAGTAGAGAATTCTACCATTATAAAGCAGTTCCATAAAGATGGCACATAGAATTCATATATCAGTTTACTCCACCGACACAATTTTTTTCCTCATTCGGTCAGGCATTTCAACAAACATTGGAACATCATATGCGAAATCACATTACGATAACTTTGGCCTAGAGAGAGAGAGAGAGAGAGAGAGCTTCGGAAATCATGTAAAAGAAGAAGAATCACTTGGGAAGCAGCTGTGCTGCAGCAACCGCAGCCTGGTTCTCCTGCTGCTGCTGGTAGTTAAGCGGCCTCCTGAAGAGCATTATGTGAGGCTCGGGACGGTGAATGGCATAATGAACCCATCCCCGGCTCTGCTGCACACCAATGGCTCGCCATTCGCTCGCCATTCATTCTGACCACATTCAAAACAGCAAAATCAGTCAACAATAACAGACGATCCTAGCTTACCCCAACCAATTTTAAGATCGATCGATCAACCCTAAACCCTAAACTCTACAAGTTACCTCAGAAAGT